ATGGATTGTGACCTGGGAGTTGTAGGTGAGACAGACCCTTTCTTTCCCAAATTGCTTCGGTCAGTGTTTTTTGTTTGTGTTTTTCTTGTCTTTTTGAGACTGGGTCTCCCTGTGGCCCCAGAGGGCCTGGAACTCACTCACTATGTAGATCAGATTGGCCTTGAACTCACAGAGATCCCACCTGCCTCTGCCTCCTGAGTGCTGGGATCAAAGGCGTGTACTACCATGCCCAACTAGGTCAGTGTTTCATCACAGCAATAGAGAATCAAACTGTGGTCTTTCTCTCAGTCTCTTAGTTCTCCTCCAGAGCTCCCTGTGCAAGGACACAAAGTGGTTATAATCAGTGGCTTTGGGATAATTCTGTCTAAGCTTTGGCCTCACATATTGGCTAAAGGGGGACTCCCACCTGAGGAGAGTCACCTGAAGGAAGGTAAATGCCCAAGAGAGTTGATGGGAAATGCAGTTAGTGACACAGAAGCTAGAACCAGAGTTTGCTTCCTCACGTTCCTTTACCTCATCAAGAATGTTCTGAAATACTATATGAGTTATTATTGCCAGACAGTGGCTCACCATCATTAACATTTAAAAAGTCTTGCTGTTTTTGTTAATTGTCTGAGAACTAATAAGTTTCCCCCCTCCCAGTCATGAAGAATTTCTGTTAGCTTGGTCTTGCCTGTCCATAAGATCAACTGTAGAACATCCCAGAGCTTGGTGCTAATTGATGAGATTTCAATATGGCCACTGTTGTTGGGCCCAGGTACTGCTGAGAAGTTGGCAGCAGAGATTCTGAAGTGAGTGGGAGAGCTTGGCTGTTGTTTAGGGGTGTGGGCAAGGCTCTCTCCTTTGCCAAAACATCACCACGGCCTGGTTTATTTGTTCTGAAAGCCATAGATTATTCTCCAAACCAGGAAAGGGGAAATTTCTCTATATTTGTAATTTTCTTCTTAATTTAATTAAAATAATAATAATAATAAATACAAAAAATTAAAAACCAGTATCTTTCCTATTTATCAATAATGAACACGCTAAGAAATAAATTAGTAAAACAAAGCTATTCACAGAAATTTTAAAAAATGTAAGTTACCTAGAAATAAACCTAACCAAGGAAGTAAAAGACCTCTATAACAGAAAATTTAAAATTCTAAAAAAATTGAAGAAGACATTAGAAAATGGAAACACCTCCAATGGTCACCGGGTGGAGTGACAGAAATAATATAGTGCAAACTATTGCAATACACAAGACAGTCTACAGATTAATGGAGTTGCCATCAAAATTCTAATGAGATTTATCACAGAACTAGAAAAAAATTTAAATAGAAGCATAAAAAACCCTGGATATCTAAAGCAATTGCAAGAAAAAGAATAGAGAAGATAGCACAATTTCTGATCTCAAATTATCCTACAGAACCATAGTAACAAACAGTACAGTGCAAGCACAAAACCAGACATATTGATCAATGGAATAAAACAAAAAAATTCTAGCTATTAAATCTTATAGCTAGTCATGTGATTTTTGTCAAATCTACCAAAAACATGCACAGGAGAAAATACCGTATTTTCAACAACCGGCAGTGGAAAAACTGGGAATTCACATATAAAATACGAATCTAGAACCATAGTTCTCACCCCAGACAAAAATTAATTTGAAATGAATCAAATACCCTGTATAACATTCAAAACTTTGGAATGCTACAGACAAGTGTAGGCAAAACGCTTCAGGAAATACACATAGGCAAGAACTTACGGGAAAAAAACGCTCTATTTTTAAAGTTTTCAATTTATTTTTATTTTCTATGTATGAGTGTTTTGCCTGCATATATATGTAAGTGCACCATTCGTGTGCAGGGCCCACAAGGCCAGAAAAGGGTGTTGGATCCCCTGTAACTGAAGTTACAGGTGGTTCTTGGGTGCCATTGGGTGCTGGGAACCAAACCCAGGTCCTCTGCTGTTGGGAGCTGCTAATCATTGAGCTGTGTCAGGCTTGTTTACTGAGTGTGTGTTATGCACACCAGTATCTAATCTGCCTTATTAGGAGGAATATGTTTATATGGAGAGCCTCACAACACCTGCAATAGTGGAAGCCTTTGATCTGACCGCTCCTTGACCCTCAGATACAGGTGGGGAAAAACAGCAGTTGTAACTAATTGAGTTCTTCTGTATAAAAAGGCAGAACTGAAATAAATCGGAGCTGCAGTATTCACTGTGAGCCCTCCCAAGAAGCATCTTTTCTGTCTCCTTTCCTTTCTTTCAATCCTCACTCCCCCTTTCAGGTACTGTCCGTTTTGGCCGGCTGGCACCAGCACTCTGCAACAGCAGTTGGTGCTCTTAACCGCTGAGCCATCTCTCCAGCCCCGAAAAAAGGGTCTAACAGCGCAAGAATTGACCAATGGGATTACATGAAATTAAAAACCTTTTGCATAGGAACAATTACCAGAGCAAAGAGACAACAGTTTACAGGTATTGCAGAAGTCATCTGAAATTTAAATTGTCTTCAAATAAATAAAAACAGAATCACAGCATAGAAGCACCCATGGATGGACACACAAAATCATCACTAACAGAAACCTGAAGCAAAAGATGTCTATACTGGGCAAAATCAAACAGTCTTAAACAAGCAGGGTAGTGATACATGGCGAGGACTTAGAAAATCAAGAATATGTCAAATGCAAAGTTGGAAAAAGAAATAATTATCAGTGCAGAAGTAAAGGAACTAGAGTCTAAAGACACATAAAATTGCAATAAAGTAGGTTGCTTCTTTTAAGCATTAAAAAATTAACATTCGCCAGGCATGGTGGCGCATGCCTTTAATCCCAGCACTTGGGAGGCAGAGGCAGGCAGATCTCTGTGAGTTCAAGGCCAGCCTGGTCTACATAGTGAGTTCCAGGATAGCTGGGGCTACAGGGAGACCCTGTCTCTAAAAGATCAAAAAATAAATAAATAAATAAATAAAATTAACATTCAACTACACTCACTAAGAAAAAGGGAAAAGCCCAAATAAAATTATATATCAGAAAGGAGACATTACAACTACCACCACAGAAAAACAAAGGATTATTAGGGAATTTTTTAAAAAAATATGTGTTAATGCAGGGCGTAGTGGCACATGCCTATAGTCCCAGCACTTGGGAGGCAGAGGCAGGTGGATCTCTGTGAATTTGAGGCCAGCCTAGTCTACATAGTGCGTTCCAGGCCATATGTGTGTGTGTGTGTGTGTGTGTGTGTGTGTGTGTGTGTGTGTATGTTAACAAATTGGCAAATCATGAGCAAAACAAATTTCTGGACACAAATGATCTAACAAAATTGAAACAAGAAAGTGAAAAAACTTACACAGACCAATAACAAGGAAAATTCACAGCAAAGTTTCTGCCCCAAAAGAAAATCCCAGGACCAGATGGCTTCAGTGTTGATGTTAAGGAACTTTTGAGGAATAATTAGCAGCAGTTCTTTTCAAATGAAGCCATAGAACTGAGAAAGAAGGAATCATTCCTAGTCTTTCAATGAGACCAACATTACCCTGTTACTAAAATCTGGCAAGGACATAACCAAAAAGAAAAACTGTAAACAAATATCCCCAGACAAACATACATGCAAAATCCTCATAAAATGTTACTATATTGAAATGAGTAGCACATCAAACAAACAAAAAACAAAACACCAGAACACAACAAAAGGATCACACACTGTGATCAAGATGATTTCATTCTGGGATGCAGGAATAGGCCCATATAAGTAACATCAACAGCATACAGATAAAAATCATATGAACATTTCAACAGATATGCAAAAGGCATTTGATAACATTTGTCAAATGCTTTCATGATAAAATTCTTGTACAAATTATGCTCAGCAGGATCATGTCTTAACATAATAAGGGCTACACATGATGAATTCACAGCTAATATTATAAAGAATGGTATGAAATTGGAAGCCTTTCATTGAAGATCAGGTCTAAGTCGAGAGTGTCATTTTCGCCATTCTTATTCAATATAGAAGTTGCAAGTATTAATCTGATCAATTAGACAAGAGAAAGAAATATAAAGCATACCCATAGGAAGGGAGAAAGTCAGGCATCTCTGCAGATAATAGGATGTCACATATAGTTTTCATAAACTAAATATCTAGACTTTGAACTATGACTCATGTTAGTCATATTCAGAGTATTTATACAAGGCCATTTGCTAGATAATACAAAGATGAACTGCCATTGAATGTGTATTGTATGTTTCTGGACCAGGTACAATGACGCACACCTTTAATCTCACCAGAGATAGATAGATCTCTGTGAGTTCAAGGGTCTTCTGTGTCTGTTTCGTGCGTTTCGGGGCTGTTTGGTGTTTTTATTTCTCCCATGTCTCAAAAAAAAAAAAAAAAAAAAAAAAAACACCAAAAAACGAAGCAACAACAAGTTTCTGAAGAACTATAATGAACTGAGCAATTAATGACCAATCTTGACTATCAGCATGATTGGATTAAGAAATTTCTAGGAGATTAGTGAAGGCCATTCTGGGTATGTCTGTGAGGACTGGATAATAAGGGCTCTGATTTAATTAACAGATTGATCAGTTGATGGATTCATAATATCATCTGACATTGGGAAGTGGTGTAAAGAAGGAGGTGGGATCTAGTTAGAGGAAGTAGGGCACTGGGTTGTGTTCCTGGGCTTTGTCCTGGCCTCTTCCTGTGTCCCTACTGCTTCCTGTTCACTGTAAGGAAACTCTTCTACCGCAGGTTCTCACTGGCATGATGTGCTTCTTGATAGGCACAGAAACATGAGGCCAAGTGCCCATGCACTGAACCCTCTGAAAGAGCGATTTCAAAGTAATTCCCCCTTTAAGCTGTTTCTCTCAGATACTTATAGTGACAAGAAAAGTAACTTAAAATACTAACACAACAAATACTAAAGAAAAATTATTTTATTAAAGTGGTAAAATAAAACCATTAGAATAATTTCAACATAAACAAATATTTACTAATCAATTTAAATTATTTTTGTTTTTCAGTCTTGGGACAAGGAACTAGCAAGACTGGCTAGGTCATGGTCTACTGGATGCAAATTTTCCCACAATCCCTGTATTACGAAACGATATGCATGCCATGATGCTTTTGACTTTGTTGGAGAAAATATATTTTTAGGTGGATTAAAAAGTTCACCAAAATTTGTTATTTCTTCTTGGTATAATGAATCTAAATATTATAACTTTGATAACTTGTCATGTTCTAAAACTTGTGGCCACTATACACAGGTACGTACTAGGCAGGTTATGGATGAGTACTTATGTACATTTCAATTACAAGACAAAGCTCTTTAGGATTTTCTTTTGTGTTCCTGAAAAACTCACTCTTATTGGGTGCAGAGTTCCTTATAATGAGTGTAGTTTTTCTGATCTTTAAATATTTTAACCCACTCTCATTTTCTTTGCATTGCTTCCATTAAGAAATACCCTTAACCTTCTACTTCATCGGTTTTACCCCCTTTGACTACTTTTATGCTTTTCTTCTAACAGTCTTGATCATAAAAAACCCTAGTTTTCTTCATGTTTCTTGTGCTATAATTCCTTAGTCCTGGAACTCTAAGTCTACAGTTCAAAAACAACTTTGGAAAAATATGGGTCATTGTTTCTTAAATAGTTCTCTCCTCAGTGTCCTGCTGCCTGTGGGAAAGAATGCTTGAAATTGTGCTAGTTATTTAATGTCTTTATCGTTTTTCATGGATTTTTTTTCCTCTGTGATCAACTTCATATAGTTTTTTTGTTGTATCGTTAATTTGATAATCTTTTCTTCTGCAATGTTTACTCTCTCACTAATTTGATTTCATTTATTTTCTATCTTAAACACTAAAATTTGCATCTCTAGACTTTTCTGTCTTTTAACATTTTTTAATAAAGATACCCAGTATGTTCAATTTCTCCTTTAGCTTTTAAAGCATATGTTATGTTGTTGTAATTAGTCTTTTGATGTTTTTACTGTTAGTTGTAGCAAATATTAGCTCTGTATTTCAATGTGTTGATTTTTGTCTTCATTATAAGGCACATTTCTGTGTTCCTAAGTATATTGCATCAATATTATATTTCCAGTTGTAAATTTTATCTTGCAGTGTATTGAATTTATTATATATTTATAAATATTACTGAGTTTATATACCGGCATTCAGAAAAGTTACTTGGAATTATTTGATTCTTTTGATTCCTACTTTTAAAATACAGTACCTTGAATGAAATCAGTGGTTTTTCTAGGACTAATTATATCTCATTATTGAACCAGGAGTTTTTTGGATACCTGCTATGTTCACTGCTTCCCTCAATAAATGAGGCCCTTTTCCTCATCATCACAGTGTGCCACTGCATAATTCTGGCCTCTCCAGTACTTGTCTCTCTGAAAATCCCTGCCTAGTTTTTCTTCCTAGACCCTCAGTTCAGACTTTCTCAGTTATGTGAGCCCTTCAAGCTTTTTTTCTAGTTTACCTTCCCTGATCCATGATCTGGAATCTCATAAGGCAACAAGCAGAGGCAGTTGTACAGTTTGTTTTGGGCTTTTTTGTTTCTTTGTTTCCTTTTTTCTTTCCTTTTTTTTTCTTCTTTTTCTTTTTTCCAGTTAACCTTCATTACTTGATACACAGGTAAAATTATTTCTTAGATCTTTTCTGATTATTTTTCTGGTTTAAAATAGAAATATAAGACTGTCCCAGCTACTACATTTTGATGAAAGTGGAAATACATTTTAGTCAAGCCTCAATCCTAGACATGTTACTGAGGTTGCATAAGCAACAGAAAGAGCAAACAGTTTTTATCTGAGATTCAGTAGACAAGGAAATTTTCACACTCCAGGCTTTCCTTCTGCTTGTGCTCCTCCATCAGCAGGATGGATGCTCTGCTAAGTCTAGATGTTTTTCATGATATAGAGCAGATACTGTTGGTAAAGAGTGTGGTATGGATACTGCTGGGAAAATTGAAAAAATAGGGTCCAATGTCAGGTGTCCTAATAACAAGCAGAATGTCACATCCCTAATGACCTGAGGCTGTCACAATCTTTATCCTTTTTATTTTTTTTATTGTAAAGAAAAAAGCCTCTTCTCAAATGTCCCTTGCTTTTCGACATTGTTACATCGAACATAAGAATTCATTCTTACTTGTTAATTTGCACATAAATAATTAAAGATACATTCGTTCTTATTGATTCAATGACTATCTTGATTGTTTATTTGTTTTAAAAAATGAATTAAAACATCTTACATGTCTTGCATTTATCATTCACTGATATTCTCATTAAAGTTGCATCCAATGTTTGAATAGTAGATCTAGTTCATTTCATAAAAATTTAAAGCTAGACCTTGTCAGTATAGTGTCACCATTCTCAAACCTAAAAAAGAAAATCACAATTTAAATATTCTAAGCAGGGTTGAGGAGACATGTCAGTAGGTGAGAGTATTTTGATGTGCAAGCATGAGGACTTAATTTGGGGCCCCAGCACCCATGTAAAAAGCTGGATGTGGCCATGCATACCTGTCTCCACAGCAGTGTAGAGGTGAAGACAGGAGGTTCACTGGAGCTCACTGACCAGTCATCCTACTTGAAAGATGGTGAGCTCTAGGTTTGGTGACAGGCCTGTCTCAAGGGAACAACGTGGAGGGCATTAAAATAGGACAGTTGGCATCCTTCTCCGACTTCCACATACACTTGCACATAGATAAAAGCAAACACACACACACACACACACAAACACACTCAAATACACTAAGGAAACAATGTTGTAATACAGATATTTAAGAAAGAAACTTTAAACATGTTTCTTAAAATATGTTCTTTTGGTCTTTTTGAGACAGGGTCTCCCTGTAGCCCCAGCTGTCCTGGATTCACTATGGAGACCAGGCTGGCCTCGAACTCACAGATATCCGGCTGCCTCTGCCTCCCGAGTGCTGGGATTAAAGGTGTGCGCCACCAAGCCTGGCTGTATTTTAATAACTTTATAGCATTCAAAGTGAAAAGGATCCTTTTCAATCTAACTTGATCTAAATTTTATTAAATGAGAAACTAGATCAGAATTGATCTGTCACTCTGACATATACATGGTGAAAAGCACAACACTGTGATGTCTTTCAGGCAGTTAAAGATCCATTAAAACATGTCTTATGGAACTATGAGTTATGGCTACACTGCAGCCATGAAAGAAGGGGCTGATATGTCAATTTATGAAATACTTTAATTCAGTTTGTTGATAGAAATGTAAAATAAATGAAGTTAGAAAATTCATTTATGGGGTCAAAAAATGTCCTTACATTATTTCTTTTCCAAATAGGCTAAATCAAATAGCCCTTGTCTTTTTCATTTGAAGAATATTTAAAAATCCATTCTGTCATCGCTGCAAGGGACCAGGGATGCTCTTCACATCCTTATCTGCCTCCTTTAGTTAGTTTTCCGTCCACATTGTCTTCCTTTGAATAAAACTTTACTGTTCCTTGCAACTAAAATTTTAAAATTCACCACCCTTATGGCAGATATTTTTAATAAACTTCACATGTTCTTATCCCATGCCTATCTCTTGTGACTTGACAAAGGTGAGAATAGGTTTAAAACTACAACATTTTAAATGTAAAAATAAATTTAGTAGATTCTTTTTTTCTAAGAAAAAAAAACATGAATTGTGTTGTCATTGCTAGTTTGGCTTTGATATTTTTTGTAGTATGCCCACAGAGAGTTCAAAGTGTGTTTCTTAAATCATCTACAAGAAAGCATGATTTTTAAGAAAAATTATAGTATAATTAGGCTATCCATTATATCATCCTTTGATTTGTGACAATTATCTCTGAGTAAATCCTAGTTAGGTTACTCTTATGAAGGAGGCTTTAACAAAAGATCATTTAATGTGTTTGATATTAGAAAAATGCAGAAAACAAATTTATATGTATGTTTTTGTAACACAAATAACATATACGTATTCTCATGATGAATTGTTTGTGTGGATAGTTTTTAATATCCTACTTTACAATTTCTTTCCTTGTAGGTAGTTTGGGCCAAATCACATAAAGTTGGTTGTGCAGTTACAAATTGTCCTAACCTCGGGGGACGGGCAACTGGACTATTTATATGTAATTATGGGCCAGCGTAAGTCATTTTGACATTAAAAATATTGTAAGTCGAAATAACTTGTTAAATGTTTAGGTTAAACAGATCTTATACTAGACCCAAAAGTATCTTTGAAAAGTCTCCCTCTACAATGCTAGTGAGAAAAGTAAAAACAGAAAGTGGTGTTAGAGTATTGCTTATATAAAAAATCACTCATGATCTATTTAAGCTTCAGAACAGAAATTATGAAAATGGTTTGAGTTAGAAAAGGTAGGGGCTAAGGAGATGACTCAGCCAGTAAAACATTTGTCATGCAAGCATGAAGACTGAGTTCATTTCCCAGCACCCACCTAAACACCCAGGCACAAAGATATATACCTATAGTCCTATCTTTGCCAAAACCATGTAGGCAGAGACAGGAGGATCCCTGGGACTTGCTGGCCATCAGTCAAGTCAAATTAATAAGTTCAGTTCAGGCTCAGTGAGAGTGTATGTCTCAAATAGTATGCTAGAGAGTTACATCCACATTGGTCTATGCACCCAAACATGTAACATGAACACACAGATAAAGGTAATATAAAATAAACTACCACAAGAATATCTGAATAATGAAACATAAAAGGCTTAGCAAATGTTTCTCTAAAGAGCATTAACGATTGGAATGAAAATGAAAATGTTGAAAAACTACTTCAAAGCTGGACGTGGTGGCACACACCTTTAATCCCAGTACTTGGGAGGCAGAGGCAGGTGGATCTTTGTAAGTTCGAGGCCAGCCTGGTCTGCATAGTGAGTTCCAGGACAGCTGGGACTACAGGGAGACCCTGTCTCAAAAAGACAAAAAAAAAAAAAAAAAGTACTTCAATTTTAGGAAAAAGCATCATTTATTAAATGCCCTATGAGTGATTTCATATTTAAATGAAAATATAAACATAATGAGAAGGTTTAAAATGAAATTATAGAACTCTAACTTAAACATCTATTAATATTAAAGGAATATTTAAATGGGTGATAACCTGATTCTTCAGCAAATAAAAAATTTAAGAATAAATGCATGAAAAACAAAAACACAAAGAATAAATATATGGAATTGGCAAAAAGAAGTCATAGACCCTAAAGGAGAACCTACAACTGATATTTTCCTAAACCAATCCACAGATAAGTGTACCTCTCACCCCTCACCAAAGAAATGTCTTTTGGCAACAGGTGGATATGATTACTGAGAACCACAAGTGTTCAAATACAGAGAATAGGTGACTGAGTTGTCCAGCCCCCGCCAAAACATCCACAATGCAACCCCCACACCTAAGGCTCTGGGATCATTGCAGAAGAGGGGGTGGAAAGACTGTATGAGCCAGAGGTCCAGGACACCTGCTGCTAGGTAGTGTCTTCTAGACATGACAGGGAAGCTGCACTCATGAAATCTGAGCAATATGATTACCTAAAAAAGACCTGCATAATGACAACAGCTAGCATGTGAATGAGGATGGAGGGAATTTTACAAGTTTGCACCTCTAGATGCAGAGCTACAGACAATTAATGGCTGCGGAGAGAGAGAGAATCAGTTTTCTAAGTGGATGAGCCTCCTAATAATCCCAGTGGTCAGCCCTAAACACCTACACATGCTAGCACTATTAAATGCACTTAGTAAGCTATATATAATTAAGTCAGGAAATTGAGAGAGAGGAGAACGGGGTGAATTAGGAGGAGATGGAGGGGTGGAAATGATGTAAATATAGTACTCATGTATGGAAAAAAAATGAAAAATTCAAAAAGACCAAATAAAAGAAGGTAAGATATGTCAAAAAGACTACGGGGAGATGGAAATGTGTATCTCTTTTTATCTGCTTTCTTCAGTCTCTTTTCACTGATCAGCAAAAGTAAGAATGATAACCTTAGGTTATTTGAGGCTATTAGAAAGTTAGGGCAGAATACAATGTTTTAGATATCAAAGAAATCACTTAACTGCTGGCATGTAGTATCGCATTTTCTTCCAAGAAGATTAATCACTGAATTTGAAAAGAAAGTAGGAGATGAATGCTCAGGATTTGATGAAAATCATCAGAGCACAATTACTTTAAGACTTGGCTTTCAGAGCTGGAGAGTTGGTTCAGCAGTTAAGAGCACTGACTGCTCTTGCAGAGGACCTGGGTTTGAGTCCCAGCACCCACATGGTGGCTAACAAGCATCTGTAACTCCAGTCGCAGGGGATCTGATGCCCTCTTCTGACCTCCATGGGCATTGCACAACATGGGTGTACTTACCTACATGTAGACACAACACACATACAAATAAAATGAAAATAAACTTTTTTAAAAAGGATACATATTTAGCATGCATTAAGAAATCGCAGTTGTCTAGGGATGTGACAGAAACAGACACACGTTTTTCTCTAGGATCTGTGACCTCTCCAGCCATGTGTATTTGGCTATGTTTATAATACCACACTTGAGTTCTCTCCCATTGAGCAGGTTTTAAGTTCAATTAAATAATCTTGATTATCCCCCAAGATAAAATTGCCACTACTGCACCAATAGTTTGCTGTGCCAGTCATTGTGATTATTAGGCTTTACAAGTGGGGTTGGACCATTGATTGATTTTCTCCCTGAGCAGCTTGCACTGAGCCCTCTCTAGAGTTTCATTTTCTTATATTTATAGACAAGTATACCTCTCACCACTCATCAAAGAAGCTTCTTTTAGCAACAGATGGAGACTATCACAGAGTACTACAGCTAATCAAACACAGAGAATAAATGTCTGTGAGATGCTCAGCCTTAAGTGACACATCTACAGTGGAACCTCTACACTTACAGCTCAGGGAACACAGCAGAACAGGGAGTAGAAGGAATATTAATATATCAGTTCTCACCAGCGAAGCTTCCTCATGCAACAGAGGGCAATTAATACAGAAAGCCACAACTGGCCAAGGAGAGAATAAGAGACTTCAGAGTATATGTCACTGTATAGGATTCCTACATTAAGCTTCACCAACCCAGGTCTCAGGGACCATTGTGGAAGAGGGGGCAGAAAGATTGTAAGAGCTAAAGGTAGTGGATGACCACAAGGAGACAGCTTTTTCCAGGCTTCTGGTAACTTGCTCATATGAAGTTGCAGCAACAGTGACAGCATGCACAAGACCCATGCAAACTCAAACCAGAGCACATCTTTTTTTGAAATGGACATGGAACATTTACTTAGGTAAGGCATATTCTGACTTATGAAATAATTTTTTAAAATATTTTATTTATTATTTTTATTGAGGCTGTCAGATCCCCTGGAACTGGAGTTACGGACAGTTGTTAGCTTCCATATGGGTGTTGGGATTTGAACCCAGGTCTTCTGCAAGAACAGTCAGTGTTCTTAACCTCTGAGCCATCTCTCCAGCCCCAATTTATGAAAGAAGTTTTAATAAATTTAAGCAGATTTAAAATCATACAAAGTTCATTGTTCTGTCAGAGTATAATCACATCACAAAAAAATAACAGAATGTAATGACCCTTGAAACTTCTCAATATTTGAATATTACTACTTAGAAATAAATCATGAATCTGATAAGAAAATCAAATAGGAAATGAATATATTGAACTGAATGAAAAAAACTGAACCAGTGTTTGGAATACCATTAAAGCAGTGACTAAGAGGAAAATTATGACACTAGAGGCCCACAGTGAAAATTAATGGTTTCCAATCAATGGCCTCATCTACCTAAGAAGCTGGGGTAGTGGTGGGGGAGAAATAAATCATGAATCTGATAAGAAAATCAAATAGGAAATGAATATATTGAACTGAATGAAAAAAACTGAACCAGTGTTTGGAATACCATTAAAGCAGTGACTAAGAGGAAAATTATGACACTAGAGGCCCACAGTGAAAATTAATGGTTTCCAATCAATGGCCTCATCTACCTAAGAAGCTGGGGTAGTGGTGGGGGAGCATTTTAAATCCAAAGTAAGCAAAAAAAAAGTTAACTAATAAACCAATTAAATATAAAAAATTGAGAAAATCAACAAAAAGCCCAAACTAGTTGATCAATAAAATTGATAATTCTCAAACCACTCTGAGTAGAAAGAAAAAGATAAAAGTCAATAATATTAGGAAATAGATAATAGCACTGAATATATCAAAATTATTATGTCAATAAATGTTATAATTTGTATTAAATGGAAAAACTCCTTAAAAGATACAAACTACACAGAAATAAAGTTAGAGAATATCCTGCACTAGGAAAACTGCAAAAATTCTAAAAAGTTTTAGTAATTGAATGCAACATTGTTGTAAAAGTAATGTGCTTTGTCCAGGGAGTTTGTTTCAGGTATATGAGGTTGGTTTAACATTCTGAAATACCAAAGAAATTCACCACATTAACCACTGTGAAAATAAAGAGCACACGGTCATTTCAGTAGATCCAGAGAAAAGCAAACATTCATTCCTGATAAAAACTCTAAGAAGGAGAGATCATGTTCTAGAGGCCCCGTTCTGTTCCCAACACACACTTTGGGCAGATCAAAACCATGTGGAACTCCAGATTCAGGGGAAGCTGATGCCAAACCTGATGCCTCTGGTCTCTGTAAATGTGTGCACATGCCCACACACAAAAATACACATAATTAATCCCTGCACTCAGGAGGCAGAGGCAGGTGGATGTCTGTGAGATTGAAGCCAGCCTCATCTACATAAGGAGTTCTAGGCCAACTGAGGCTACAGAGAGACCAAGTCTCAATAATAGAAATAATAATAATAATAATTTTTAAAATTAAAAAAATAAAAGTCTCAGCAAATTCAAAATAGAAGGGAATATCTCACAGAATATGTTAAGCTTTGCAGGCCATAGACAGTGTCTCACATATTAATTTAATTTTTGTTTCTATGTTTTCAATAATACCTTAAAATTTTTAAATAACTCCTGGCTCATAAACTTCAACAAACAGACCCTGGGCATACTTGGCCCACAGACCATGTCTTTCTGACTATTGGACATAGCAAAGATAATTAAGAAGCAAACAAGAACCTGGAAAAAAAAAAGAACCTCTCACATGATTGATCATTAGAGAAAAAAAATACTAAATCACCATAAATACCAATGCACAGCCATCTGAATGAATGGAGTCAGCCTTTCCAAGTTCAGGGAGTATTCAAAGGATGTGGAATTCTTAAACACTATTAGCTGAGAAGGAACAAGCAAAGTGTTCACAGCATTTTTATTTAAAATAGACCAAAACTTGAGAAACCAATTTTCTAATAGCTGATTAGATAAATGTACTATGACATATTCTTGCATGGAGTACTACTCACTGTGTGTTTTCCCCCTTTGTGTATTCTAAATAAGTAGCACTTTTAAAAACTTTTCCATTTATGGTTCATGAACATAGGGAAGCAGAGGTTTTCAGGCCACTGGGAAGCTTGCACATGTAAACTTGTGGCAATGGTGGCATCGAGCACAGGATCCATGCCAACTCAATCAGACAAGGGCCCAGAATGGAGCAAGCCAACCCTAGAACAGGAACTATTGGAAACTGATTACTACTGGGTTAGGGAGAGTATGCCTTGATAGGCTGACTAGACTCAAGCAAATGAATTTGCACTGAAGGACATCTGGGCACAAATGCTTGACTGGATAGGACTTAACATGTATGGTGGAATATATGAGGTCTGGTGGGGGGTTTGATAAGCGTGGATGGGGGAAGCAGTTTTAATTTGGTTAAGAACTGCTACATGAACTGTATGAAAGCTCAATAAAAAATTTTTTAAAGGAAAAGTCTTAATAGCTGTCAAATCTTTCTAACACATTGTGAAATAGATCTAGATAAGTACTTTAAAATGAAATCATAAAATGTGTTTTCACTTGTAATCTAAATTTTATGTATTCCATCTACAAAAGAAATTATAGTGCCTTAGATAAAAACTGTGACTCTCACATGCTAGTACATTGGGTTCAATCCTAACTTGTGTACCATGTTAGGGATATCCTATAAAAATGGAAAAGGTCTTACTGGTTTATTTGTACAAAGGAAATAAGGCTTCTACTCAACAACATGTGTTGCTTTTTTTTTATTGAAGAAAAGGAGAAATTTATTAGGATTTCTGAGCTTTCTTAACATTCATGATTTAGTAAATAACAGAAATATTTTTCATAAATACACAGAAAAAAATTAAAACAGTAGCATTGGCTAATGAATGTTTCTCTTTTTTGCAGAGGAAATTATGCAAACACATACCCTTACATAAAAGGAAAACCCTGTTCCCAGTGTCCAGATGGCAGTGAATGCTTAAATAATACCTGCTGTAAGCAAAAAAGAAAAACAATAACACTGCATTTGAACTGTAGTATTTCCATAGGCTCATTTTAAAAATATTTTATATTTTTTTAATTTTATGTATATGAGTGTATTGCCTGCATGTGTGCTAAGTGTGCCATTGTCATGCAATGTCAGTGGTAGTCAGAAGAGGGTGTCAGATCCCCTGGAACTGGGGTTATGGACGGTTGTTAGCCACCATGTGAGCGGCGGGAACCAAACCTGGGTCCTGAGCAGCCAGTGTTCTTACTGCTGAGCCGTCTTTCCAGCACCTCACTATATTTTTGAATGTGTCCCCTTCTACTTTTAATTTATGTATGATTTATTGCTTCTATATGAGACTATAAAGCATTTGTCATAAATTTTATATATATATATATATTTAGCTGAGATGATTTTTCACTGATCTTTTCCTCAAGGGTAAAGATAAAACAAAATTAAAATCAATTTAATCTATTTGTTGCTGTATTCAAAATACTATTGGTTGTATCATTTATTTGCATTTGTTTCCAGTCAATGCTTTTTACTAGTTATTACCAGTGATTCATTCAGAAGCAAGCACTAATCACTGTTCAAATTAATTGTGATTAAAAACTAACGTGTTTCTCATTCATCATCAGCGTTTTTATTGATTCTGTTGACAATTTCATTCAAGTATATAGTACATGCTGATTACACTCTCCCTGCTCCCTCTCTTCTCTCCCTCACATCCCTATCAATCTCCCCTCATCCCAATCAGACCCTTGCCCACATTCATGACTTTTGGTTTTATTTTGTGACCCATTTACTTTAGCCAAGGCCATCTGAATGGCCACTGGAATCAAAATGTCCATTGGAGAGCCTGATGGGGTCACCAGTTGGGTACACAACTGAACAAAATTATTTCCCCCACTCCTTGAATCTTCCAATAGTAAATAGTTCAGCAGTGAGGGGTAGGGCCTCCTGAACCCCTCCTCCATCTATGCCTGACTTGATAAACCCATTCTATCCATGCCCATTGCCAGCATCAGCAGCGGCTGAAAGTTCCCTGATTCCAATAGTTGTGTCTCGTCTAAAACACAACATTTTGAGGCCCTTCTCTCAATCTTCTGGTTCTCACATTCTTTCCACCCCTCTTCTGCAGCATTCACTGAGCCTTAGGAGGGATGATATGAATGCGTTGTTTAGGGCTAAGTATTAATCTGTTATTTATTCTCAGCACCTTAAGCAGCTATGAGTTTCTATGTTCTCCACCATTCACTGGAAAGGAGAGGTCTCACTGACTAAGGCTAATAGTAGCATTTGTCTATAGGTATAAGCATAAATATTTAGAACAGCAGCTTGACACTATAGCAGTTTAGCTGAACAACAATATTCAGTTCCCCACTAAGAGCTATTATCTCTCCTGCCATGAATTTTTGATATATTACAATACCAGGCATGGATTCTCCTCTGAGTTGGTTACCCCTGTAATAATAATGTCATTATTGCACAGGTGGACACATCTTGCCTGGCAGGTAGATCTTTTAGATTGTAGACTTCAACTCTGGGCTACACTGTTGAGGACTTTTTCTACCCCAGAAGCATGTATAACACCCCATGGCACTGTGAAAGCCAGCTAGCAGGGAAGAAACTTCCAGCTCAGTTTCAGGTTGTTTTCTCTATATCATGCGTCCTACATGTGTGGTTTCTTCAGCAGTAGAGTCTTGTCATCTAGTTCTAGTAGGCATTTAAGAGGAATGGCAAGAACCTATATTGTTGTGGGGGTTTCTGCAGCCTCCCTGGCCAACAACTCATTAAACAGTATCCCACCCTTGGCACTGGGGTGTTTTCCATCCATTTAGAGAACCCCCCTTCATATTTTTTTAATATATAAATTATAGTTTTTAATTTTGTACAAGATAGTAGGTTTCCATTTGGCTTTTTCATATCCTCATTGTTTTAGTTAATCATCTCCATAATCATAATTTAGTTAATCATAATTGGCCTATAGTTTTTGTCTTCACTTGTTCTTGATTTTGACTTCAGGGTAGCTGCAGAAGAAATGAGAAGTTGGGAGCTTTACTTCTTTTGCTTTTTTGTTATAATTGTATAAGATTTTGATTATTCTTTTTAATATTTGTGAGATCTATTGTTCTACTGTGTTATATGAATGTTTGATTAGTAAAAAAAATTAATTTCTTAATGACTGTATGAGATTCAGGTTCTTACAAACGCCACTGAGTGGTTATGTCCCATCTAAATTCTGTGACTTTTGTTTGTGTTGTTTTCCTTTTATGTTGGTGAGTCTTTACAGAAAACCAACTTTGAGCTTGGTTGACTTCTAAGACAGGAAATATGGTATAATGTTTAAATATGTAAGTCATGGAGTCAAATGGCTTAATTTAAGAGGACTAAATATGTTAAACCATACAAAGTGATGTGAGCACAAAATGTAGTAAGCCATCAACAAACCTTAGGTAGTGTTATAGTTAAGTTCTGAGCTATTTTCTGTTTGACTAGATGTATATTTTTCATAGCACTCGTGATTCTGAAATGATCACTCATATTCCTTTTACTCATTGTTTGCAATTGATAGCTTTCCCTTTATTGCCCTGTAATGAAAGACTTTGTTTTTATTTCTGATAACTACTGTGTCCAAAGCCTAATATCATGCTCAGTACAAGGTAAAAACTGAATAAATAAATAATAAATGGGGGAACAAAGCAAACAAAAAGAATGAACTTGCAACACAAAAGACCATGTTATAATACTAAACTAGTATTTAACATGAGAAAATTTTGCTATGGGAAAGACAAATTTGGGGCAAGCATCACTACAGAAATGAAGTTGATATTTAAAACTCCCCATGAAAAAAAGTCATTCTTTTAAGGGACCTGCACTGGGCATGGTAGAATACCAAAATAA